AGCAACTGGGCACCAGCCGGGCTGCAGCGGCTTTCGTGGCCGCACTCGGCGCAGCCTCGCTCCCCTCACGGCCTCGTGGCTGTGGCAGTGGGGCCACGGGAGCAGATGGCGCTCATTCCCCACATGGGGTCGTGGAGCCTGCTCTGCAGCGTGCGCTGCTGGCTCAGGGTGGGGCCGCGTGGTTTCTCACTTCAATACACAGCCCACACAGGGCGCTGGTCTCCCTGACATCAGCGTGTGAGCAACTTCCTCCAGTTTCCCCCCTCCCCCTCCTCCCATCCCTCCCCCTCCTCCCATCCTACCTCCCTTCTCCCTCTCTCCCTTTTCTCCGCCCTCCCACCCTCCTCCCCCCCTCCCCATTCCCTCTCCCCACCCTTCCCCCCTTCCCCTTTCCTCTCGCCTTCCTCCTTCCTCCTCCCCCTCCCCCAGATGTCCCCTCCGCCAGATGCCTCCTGGGTTAAGAGGAGGGCACTGTCTGCTCTAGGCCAGCCATGTCTTTGTTGCATGCTGCAAGGCCCCATGGGGGGCACTGTAACATGTGAGTGTAACATGGTCCACCCTGCAGGTGGCCGGTGACGCCCTGACCATGGCCCCTCAGTGGGTGCCGGGCCACCTCCCTGGTCACTGTGGCCCCGCCCCGCGCCCCACCTCCTGCAGCAGGCTGAGCTTCTCCAGCTCCCACTGGTGGTCCAGGATGAGGCTGTCGCTCCGGGGCCTCCAGCCCGCCAGGTTCTCCTCGCCGCGCACATAGGCCACAGACGTGTCCAGCACCCGCCGGCGCCGGCGCTGCATCCCTGGGGGAGACGGACGCCCCGTCCCTGTCCGGCCCTGACGGCAGCAGCTGCCACCACAGAGCCTGATGCTCGTCCCGCGACGCCACACCGCCACCCTCGCTGTCCCCGTCTCAGGATGGCTCGGGCACTCACAGGTGCACACTTGCATTTGCAAATGAGGACCCCCTCCAAACACAACTCAGCCGTGGGCACGGGGGGGGGGGCTGCCCTGACCCTCCCCCACCAGTCGCAGGCAGGCGCCTACCTGGGCTGCCCGCGTCGGCCACATGGCACAGGCTGAGCTCGTACACGCCCGTCACACGGTTGCTGCAGGGAGCAGAGGAAGAGACACGTCAGTACCAGGAGCACACATATGGCCTGGGTGCCACCATGAGCCACCATCGAAGTACCACCCACGCCTCAGCCAGGGATCCTGGGGCTGCAGCCGCTGCTCAGAAAGTCCCATCTAGGCTGGTCCGAAGGTAGTGAGTTATCTCATGTGATTGTTCATAGTCAGTTACAGATTGAACTCCTTGTTCTACTACTTTCCCCCCTCCTCACTACTGCACTTGACTAGTCTTATGGCACGTGTGTCCCAGATCCCTAGCACCCGGCACCTCCGGTCCCTCCAGGCACTGAGCTCTGCAGGCCTTGAGACAGGGAGCCCCTGCTCCCAGGACGCCGGTGGCTCCAAGGCCCCTCAGCAGCCCTGTGACAGTGACAGGCCCTGCCAGTCGGCATCCCACAGCCACTGGTGAACCTCTGAACAACTGTGGCTGGCCCTCGAGGATGCTGAGTCCTGACCCCCAAGAGCCGTCCTCCTGGTCACAGATCCCCGTGGTCCCCAGGGAGCAAGGTCATGTGGCAGGGGTGAGGTGTGGCCCCCGGACCACCCACAGGAGGCCAGGAGGGCACCCGGGCTTTCTCCACTCCGCCCTGCCCTGCAGGCTGGCCCGGGCTCCTGCCACCCTCTGCATGGTGCTGGTGTCCCCTGCAGGTGGCCACTGGGGTGAGTGAGAGGGAGCCTGGCCAGAGCGTGCGGAGGTACGGGGAGCGTGGCCGGAGCCTGGCCAGGAGCGTGGCCGGGAGCGTGCCGGGGAGCCTGGCCAGGAGCGTGCCGGAGCGTGACGGAGCGTGGCCAGACTGTCGGGAGCGTGCCGGGAGCCTGAGGGACAAGTGCTGGAGGTGGCGGAGCCGTGCCGGATGTTTCCAGGGAGCATGCCGGGGAGTGTGACAGGAATTGTCCAGAAACTGACTGGGACGCGGTGGCCAGGAACGGGGCTGGGAAGTGCGCGGAGCGTGGCTGTGAATGCCAGATTGGCCGGAGCGTGCCAGATGTGCCGAGACCGTCGGCCGATGTCCAGTGAGTGTGTCTGGAGGAGCGTGCCAGGAGTGTGCTCGAGGAGCGGCCATGAGTGCCCGGAGCATCCAGAACTGCAGAACGTACCGAGCCTCATACCAGCACCTGCGAAGTCGCTGCAGCAACCAGCCCTCGGGTCCAAGCTTGCTCCTCACCAGGCGCCGGTGCATACCGAGGCCCACGCGGCCTATGTGCTCACCTTGCAGGCCCGCAGCTCCCACTGCGAACAGTTTCGGAGAGCGCGAGGCGGGCAGCTTGGCATCGCGGGAGTAGAAGACCATGCAGAAGTCCTTGGTGACCACGGCCGGCTGGGTGCAGTTCTCCATCTGCAGCGGGCGGGGCAGGGCTCAGGCGTGAGGACACCCCGTGTGCGTGGGGCCCCTCTTGACCTTGTCCGGGGGGCACAGGGCCCAGCCCCCCGATCTGAGGCAAGGGGAGGGTCTCCTCCCGCCTCGGGCCACGTCTGCTGGGGAGGGAGCCAACGCCCTGCCCGCCCTGGGCCACTGGGGGGCGGGGCTCCCAATGCAGGGACCCTGGGGGTCCCCAACACCGGCCTTGCCGTAGACCAGGGTGACACCTTCCCCCACCTAGCGCCCGTGGGGATGAACCCGGGTCTTGTCTGCACACACGTTTAGCCAAAGCGCCACGGCAGCTACTCCTGGTGGGCGTCAGCTGGCTGCCGAGCGGCTCGCGCCTGTCCCACGGTTCAGTGGTGACCGCCACACTCGGCCGGGGCGTCCTGAGCACGCGCGGGGCAGAGCTCAGCCCAACCCCCCGCCCCACCCCGCAACCCCGGAGATGGTCACACCGTCCCCGCGTCATAGCCCCAGGGATTCAGCTCTAGGGAGACAGGGTCGCCTTGCAGGCTCCTAGTCTTTTCCTGCCCTGGAAGAGAGGCCACAGCCCACGCCTGGCCACGGCCTGCAGACCCTGGGAGCAAGGGGAGCGGGGGGGAGGGTGATGCGCCTCTGTTTTGTGCTCCCTGGAACACTGATGCAATGTCCGGCGCTGCTGCAGCTCTCTTGTAACCCCAGGGACAAAAGCCACACACTGAGCACCGCCAAGGTTAACTGTGAGCACGTGGAATGATGTAACTTGAGGACTTGAGAAGTCCCCTGAGAAGAGCCTGGGTTTGTCACTGCCCTCCATGAGCACCTCGGGCTTTGGGGCAGGCCGGGTTTGGTGGGCCCCCCTGGGTGCAGGTGTCTTGCCTCAATATAAGCAGAGAGGGTCATGTAGATCTTCTCTCGATAGGGGGTGACCCGGTTCAGCAGGAGGGAATTGTGCATGGAGCTGTCCCACGCAGCCTCGAACTGGTAGAAGGTCCTGAAAGGAAGCAGAGCCCAGGCAGGCGGCCATGGCGTGGGGGCTGCTCTCAGCGGAGACAGGGACATGCAGACAGACAGACGGACAGACAGACGCAGGCACCCCAGGGAGAGCCACGGGAGCCACAGGTGGAGCCCTGGGTGGCGGCACCAGGAGGGACAGGCCCCTCCTTACTCAGGACCTTGCTGACCAGGGGCCACCAGGGCGAGCCCAGGGAGGAGGGGAGGCAGGGAAGGTGCAGGGAGGAGTGAGGAGGGGAGGGAGGAAAGGTGCAGGGAGGAGTGAGGAGGGGAGGGAGGGAAAGTGCAGGGAGGAGTGAGGAGGGGAGGCAGGGAAGGTGCAGGGAGGAGTGAGGAGGGGAGGGAGGGAAGGTGCAGGGAGAAGTGAGGAGGGGAGGCAGGGAAGGTGCAGGGAGGAGTGAGGAGGGAGGGAAGGAAGGTGCAGGGAAGGGTAAGGAGGGGAGGCAGGGAAGGTGCAGGGAGGAGTGAGGATGGGAGGGAAGGAAGATGCAGAGAGGAATAAAGAGGGAGGGAAGATACAGGGAGGAGTGAGGAGGGGAGGGAGAGAAGGTGCAGGGAGGAGTGAGCAGGGGAGGCAGGGAAGGTACAGGGAGGAGGAGGGAGGGAAGGAAGGTGCAGGGAGGAGTGAGGAGGGGAGGCAGGGAAGGTGCAGGGAGGAGTGAGGAGGGGAGGCAGGGAAGGTGCAGGGAGGAGTGAGGAGGGGAGACAGGGAAGGTGCAGGGAGGAGTGAGGAGGGAAATGAGGAAGGGATACAGGGAAGATGCAGGGAAGAGTGAGGAGGGAAGGGAAGGAAGGTGCAGGGAGGAGTGAGGAGAGAAGGAATGTACATGGAGAAGTGAGGAGGGGAGGGAGAGAAGATGCAGGGAGGAGTGAGGAGGGGAGGGAAGGAAGGTGCAGGGAGGAGTGAGGAGGGGAGGAATGTACATGGAGAAGTGAGGAGGGGAGGGAGGGAAGATGCAGGGAGGAGTGAGGAGGGGAGGGAAGGAAGGTGCAGGGAGGAGTGAGGAGGGGAGGGAAGGAAGGTACATGGAAGAGTGAGGAGGGAAGGAATGTGCATGGAGGAGTGAGGAGGGAAGGGAGGGAAGATGCAGGGAGGAGTGAGGAGGGGAGGGAAGGAAGGTGCAGGGAGTTGTGAGGAGGGGAGGGAGGGAAGATGCATGGAGGAGTGAGGAGAGGAGGGAAGGAGGTACAGGGAGGTGTGAGGAGGGGAGGGAGAGAAGATGCAGGGAGGAGTGAGGAGGGGAGGGAAGGAAGGTGCATGGAGGAGTGAGGAGGGAAGGAATGTGCATGGAGGAGTGAGGAGGGAAGGGAGGGAAGATGCAGGGAGGAGTGAGGAGGGGAGGGAAGGAAGGTGCAGGGAGGTGTGAGGAGGGGAGGGAGGGAAGGTGCATGGAGGAGTGAGGAGAGGAGGGAAGGAGGTACAGGGAGGTGTGAGGAGGGGAGGGAGGAAAGATGTAGGGAGGAGTTAGGAGAGGAGGCAGGGACAGTGCAGGGAGGAGTGAGGAGGGGAGGGAAGGAAGGTGCATGGAGGAGTGAGGAGAGAAGGGAAGGAGGTGCAGGGAGGAGTGAGGAGGGGAGGGAAGGAAGGTGCATGGAGGAGGAGAGGAGGGAAGGAGGTGCAGGGAGGAGTGAGGAGAGGAGGAAAGGAGGTGCAGGGAGGAATCAGGAGGGGAGGGAAGGAAGGTGCATGGAGGAGGAGAGGAGGGAAGGAGGTGAAGGGAGGTGTGAGGAGAGGAGGGAAGGAGGTGCAGGGAGGAGTCAGGAGGGGAGGGAAGGAAGGTGCAGGGAGGTGTGAGGAGGGCAGGGAAGGAGGGTGCAGGGAGGTGTGAGGAGGGGAGGGAGGGAAGATGCAAGGAGGATTGAGGAGAGGGAAGGAAGGTGCAGGGAGGAGTGAGGAGGGGAGGCAGGGAAGGTGCAGGGAGGTGTGAGGAGGGGATGGAGGGAAGGTGCAGGGAGGAGTGAGGAGGGCAGGGAAGGAGGGCTGCAGGAGGGAGCTAAGGGGGAGCAGCAGGGATGGGGCAGAGGGCAGGGGAGAGGCTGCGGGAAGGGAGGTGGAGCCTGGCAGGCCCAGCCCGTCTGAGTAAGGAGGCGCTGTGTCACTCCGGGACCGGAAGGCACCTGCGCAGGTGAGAGCCCCACCGCCCGGCTCCACCGTGGCCCCGCCCGGAGGGAGGAAGGCCCTGGGAGGATGCTTGGAGTGGGAACAGGGTGCCCGGCAGCCGCACCGGCACTGGGGACGCAGGGCCCCCGCCCGGCCCTGACCGCTGGCCTCCCCCAGCGCAGACCCTCCCCGGGCAGCTCAGGCCGGCTGGGAGCTGGGACTCGGTCCCTGCAGGGCCACTGTGCTAGAGGACACCCCAGGGGTCCACACAGGCTCCTGGCCAGGTGATGGTCCCTGTCTTTAACCTCCCGGAAGGCACCTCTCCGAGACTCCCAGCGGCTGGCGCTCATCTGGAGAACGGTCGTGTCCGAGGGAAGGATCCGCCCCAGTCCACGGCATGGCCACGCCGCAGAGCCCAGTGGCCCCGGTCAGCTCCCGCCCCGCCCCGCCCAGGCCCATCCAAGCATCCTCCAAAGACACACTCGAGACACTGGACGCACAGCAGCCGGCCGGGCGCCGGGGGGCGAGGCGTGCGGGCCGGCTCTGGTCCAGGCTGCAGGGCGCGGGTCTCACGGGTCAGGGCCGTGGGGTGGAGCGGGGGATGGGGGACAGGGCCACTGTCGGACACACGTCCCCAAGGAGAGACCGGACGGAGGGGGCAAGGACAGCAGACGTCGGGGACAGAGCCACTCGAGAAAGCAGAAGGGGACAGACGAGTGGGGCAGGACAGAAAAGTGAGCTGTACCTAGTGTCACTTCCGAATGAAACGCTAAAGGCAAGGCAGCCGGGACACACACGTACACACACAGAAAAGATGGAGACGTCAGAACGAGCACGTCACGGCCCGGGGCCGGCTCCCCGGGGACACGCAGGCCTCGTGGCCCCCGGGCCCCCAGCAGGCGGGGTGGGGTGCAGGCCCCGTGGCGGCCTGGCCCTGCAGACCCCCGTCCCCCGCGCCTGCAGTGAGAGCCTCGGGTCTGTCCCCGTGGGACCTGGCAGGTGCCCCGGAGCCACAACAGAGCCCTGGAGGGACGTCCTCGGGGGTCCTGTCGGGCAGGGCCTGCAGGTTTTAGCTGCAGCCGTGGCAGCCTGGCCAGGACAAGGGCTCAGGCCACCTGGAGGCCGCCACAGGGCTGCGGCACAGACGCGTGGCCCCAGGAGGTTCCCGACATCTCTGTGCCCAGTTTCCACGGGGCGCGGTTGCCCCTGCCTCCAGATGTCTCGTGGACCGAAGGAGCCACCGTGGGCACAGCGAGAACAGGGCCTGGCGCCAGTACAGTCGGCACCACGATCTAGGCAGACATCACTGTCCCACTGCTGAGCCCTCTGTCCACCTGCTTGGAAGCCCCCGAAGGACCCTGGCCGGCTCCCCCTCCTTCCCCCTGTGTGCAGACACAGCCCACCTGTGCCCGGCCCTGCGCCCCAGGTGGGGACGTCCCTGGCATCCACCCCAGCCCCTTCTGAGCCCTTCGGGAAGCACCAGGCCCTCCCGGCGCAGGGTCTCTGCAGGCATCGGGGGAGGGGCCGGGTCCCCACCCCGTGCTGGGTGCTCCACCCCATGTAGGACACAGCAAGGCAGCGAGCCCAGGGAGGCCAGCGCAGCCCTGGGGCTGCTCCTCAGGACAGGTGTGCTCTGCGGGCCAGGCTGGTCTCGGCCCCAGGCCTGGGTCTGGGAGAAGAAAATGAGCCCCCACGAGAGCCCCACTGCACCCCGAGAACGTGGCTCTGCCCTGCTTGGGCCCCATGTCCGCGGCAGCCGGGGGCTGGACCACGCCAGGCCACTTCCCGCCCAGGTGCCAGGATGGCGGACAGGACACGGGCACGGCTGTGACGCTGCTGACGGGTCATCCCCAAGCCGCTGCTCGGCCCCTGGGCCCTGAGGCCGCCCACTCTGCCCGGAGGGAGCGTGCCCACATCGCCGAGCAGCCCGGCCACAGCCTGCCTGGCCCCACGTGCCACGGACGGCAGGCCCTGGGACCCTGGGCGGCGGGTGTCCCTGGACACACTGCTGAGCCCCCGACACCCCTGCAGCCTCCACGGAGGGAGGTCTCACCCAGACCCCGAGGGGGTGAGGGGACTGTGGCCCCTGTGCCGGGGTGGGGGTGGGGCAGAGAGGCAGCCCACCCACGGGGGCTGAGGCAGCCACGCAGGAGCCACTGGGCTTGCAGAGCACAGCGTGGGGACCACGGATGGGCACCCCTGGACCACACTGCAGAAAACTCAGACCTAGAGAGGCTGAGCGGCAGCCGGGTCTCCCAGCCAAGCTCCAGGATGTGGCCAGGAGGGCTGTGGAGACCACGCCAGGACCCTGCTGCAGGAGCCGGCACGCACCAGCCTGCGACCTCCCGGGAGGGGAGCCCGGTGCCCTGTTCCCTGAGGTCCTCCTCACCCTACCCCACGTGACGTGCGACCAAACCCCCTCGTATAAAACCCAAACATGAAACCTGTAGCCCTGCAGCGTGAGGACCACATGGGAGCTCGGAAGTGTAGATTCCCAGGGCCCGCCCAGAGCCCGTGGCACAGAGATGCCGGGAAGGGTGACCGTGTGGCAGGGCACGGCCTGCGCAGAGCTTCCTGTCACTCGGCTGCCCTCACCTGGCAGACACCTGTGCCTGCCACAGAGGCAGGGTCCCACCAGCCGGCCCAGCTCCTTACCCTCCTCCTCCCTGATGCACTCTCGGCACACCCCGCCCCCCGTTTTTTTTTGTTTGTTTGTTTTTGAGACAGACTCTCACTCTGTTGCCCCAGCTGGAGTGCTGTGGTGACCTAACCCTAATCCTAACCTCAGACTCCTGGGCTCAAGCCATCCTCCTGCCTCAGCCTCCCGAGTAGCTGGGACTATAGGCATGTGCCACCATGCCCGGCTAATTTTTTGTATA